AAGAAATATATTAATTATTTATCTATTGATTCTTATTAAATTTTTCTTATCATAGATATGGGTTTTGAAGCTGATGTTAAACGTATTCTTGAATATTTACCAGTTACAAATCAGAAACCAGATAATGAACTCGCAGAAGATACAAGGTAAAAAAAAAAGAAAGAAAGAAAGAAATATTTCCATTTGAAAAATAAAAAACAAAAACGTTTTTTTCTTCTTTTGTGTTAAGAGATTTTGGTTCAAAAGATAAATATCGTCAAACAGTAATGTTTACAGCAACAATGACACCAACTATTGAACGTTTAGCACGTACATATCTTCGTCGTCCAGCATCTGTTTATATTGGTTCAATTGGTAAACCAACTGAACGTGTTGAACAAATTATTATTATGTGTTCAGAAAATGAGAAACGTAATAAATTACTTGAAATTCTTGAACGTGGTATTGAACCACCTATTATTATATTTGTTAATCAAAAGAAAGCTGTCGATATTTTGGCTAAAGGTTTAGCTAAAAAAGGATATAATCCATGTACATTGCATGTATGTAGTTATTTTAATAGATATTTTTGTTTTTTGGTTATAAACAAAATTGAATGTTTTTTTTTTTTTCTAATGTATTTCTATTAGGGTGGAAAAGGTCAAGAAAGTCGAGATTTAGCTTTAGCTCAATTAAAACAAGGTCAAAAAGATATTCTTGTTGCAACAGATGTTGCTGGTCGTGGTATTGATATAAAAGATGTTTCAGTTGTATTAAATTATGATATGGCTAAGACAGTTCAAGGTAAAAGAGAAGAAAAAAATAATAATATTTCATATAATAAAATATATTAATATAATTTGAATCTATTTGTAGATTATACACATCGTATTGGTCGTACAGGTCGTGCTGGCAAAGCAGGCAAAGCAATAACATTTTTAACCAAAGAAGATTCAGCTGTATTTTATGATTTAAAAGAAGTTATACTTGAATCACCTGTATCACAATGTCCACCAGAATTACTTAATCATCCTGATGCACAACATAAACCTGGTTTGTTATTTTATTTAATTTTTAATTAAAATTATGTTATTTTTATGTTTATTTTAGGAACTGTGGTTACTAAACGTAATAAAACTGCAATTCTTTGTGCATAAATCGCAAAAAAAGACTTTATTTCTTGTATTTGTGTTTCGTTTTTCTTTTTGTCTTATTATTGTGCATCATTAATAAAGAAGTATCTGATGAAAAAATAAAATAATGACGTATTATGTATTTCATAAAAACGAAAAAGTTTTCTTTCTATTTGATGACGTTTGTTATTGCAACAGACATGTTCTTGCACAATCACATGTCAACACAAATACCCTATTGGCTATGTGTTATTTATTTTTGTGCTGAAAATTCTATTCAGATTTTTTTATATAAAACATTGCATTATTTTTTGCTGTTGTAACAAATGGAATCATCATTATATAATAGTATTTACCAACGTGTTTCTTCAGAAGTAAATAATGATGAACAATTTTGTACATATTTGGCCGAAATCTGTACTGATTCTAATAGCCATTGTGATGATTTACGGGATATTATTGACACAATGTTTAAAACAAGTTATCCGAATATTTCCGAAACTCGACGTCAACATATTATTTATTCTCTACTCGATATGATTGAAGAACATCAACAAAAAAAAAATAAAGAAATTAATAATACTAATAATGTTGAAGATGATATTGATCTTTCAGAACGAATTGAACGTGATGGTGAATGTAAATTGTGTGGATGTACTCAACGAATTACAAGTAAGAAAAAAAAAAGATTTGTTTTCTTTTTTTCTTCACTCTTTTCCTTCTTCTTTTTTTTAATTATAAGTTCATCATCTTATTCCAAAATTAATTCTTAAACGAATGAGAAATTCTGGTAAAGAATCTGTTGATGTATCGAAATATTTAATTGAAGTATGTCGACCATGTCACAATGAAATTCATCGAATATGGCCACATAATGAATTAGCAAAAGATTATCAAACAGTTGATATGATACTTGATGCTCCTGATATTCAACCATATCTCAATTGGAAACGAAAACGAGAACGAACGGCATAATAAAATAAATTTTCATTTTAAAATTTTTATCTATTGTATCAAGCTTTTTCTAACAAATTGAAATTTTGCAATTATTTAAGTTAAATATTTTTAAAAAATAAGTCGACCTTTTGATATTCAGTAATAACTTACGAAAAAACATATCTAATAATCGAACTTCGTCCAAGGTCATGACATACCTAGACGAAGACCTGGTTGCCACATAAGTGTAAGAAAATGAGATCTTTTTTTAGTTTCTCCTCAATTGTTTTTTCTTTATTCTCAGAAGTTGAGACTTAAAAGGTTTAACGTAGAATATCCATGTCAGTCTATCAGGTACGATAATAGTGAGAGTAAACCTTTTGTATTTATACAAAGTGACAGCAAGAAATCGATAGATCATCAAGTACATATTCGCAATCAAGCGTAACAGCGATCTTCACTGAATCCAATGGATATGATATAAAATTTTGAATTTTTATGAGAATTATGTTTGATAAGTTCTTTTGCTTTGAAATGTTGAACAGATCAAAAATCAGTTTCCTTAAAACTTCGATTGCCTAGAAGAGATGCAATTCAGGTAGTCATGATCATCATTGAAACAGGCTATGAGAAAATAGTTAAATTAACTCATACGGTATACATTACCGTTGACACTTACATGATTCTGAAGCAAAGAGAAAAATCTTTTCTAAACTTATTCCTCCCGTAATAACGTATTACAGTAAGATTTAAATAAAGATTTTCTCGAGATTAATCAGACTTTCTTGAATGAAAACTCTATATTGACAGTTGCAAAAGTCAACTTCTTGAAATAAACAAAAAAAAAATTTTGAGGGAATGTTTTCTTAGTCTCATCGAGTCCTATTTATAGACAAATACGGGCTCGAACGATGTTCGACAGTTGGATGTATTCCCTCATCAATTCCTACTCTATAATAATTTATTTAGAAAAATTAAAGTAACAAAAACGACATCAAGTTGCACTCTTGCGTTTTAGTTGTTTGCAAACGATTCTAATAATCAAAATTGACCGAGAAATGATTGTACTATATATCAAAAAAGATAAAACCAGCATAGTGATTGGTCTCAAATTTTTCAAGAACTTATATACATCACAATATTGTAGTAACATAAAGATATATTAAATTACTTAATAAAATCTTTAAAATTATTTATATCATATCTTGACATAATTTAATAATAATTTATTAATACAATTAAAATGTGTCATTTTTGGTAGTTGCATAGAAAAATTCTTATTGCAAAGAACAATAATGACACTTTGTTTTATATATGGCATATGCACAAACATAATGTCTTTTATATGAAACTTAATGCAAATTGTGTTTTTTCAATAAGTTATCTTTTAGTTGAGGTGTTTTTTAATGAATTTCTTGTGTATGACAATAGGAATGCTATGCGTGAAAAGATTTTTCTTTAAATTAGAATTCATTAAAATTCACTTTGAAATCTTCAACATATGATTCAGATGAAAATAAATTAATGAATTAATTCAAAAATTAATTGAAAAATCATCAACTTCTTTTTCTTTCTGTACCTGTTTTGTAAGCTTTACTATATATACATGGAAACTTTGTTTTAACTATAGTTAACAAGCAATTACACATTTTATTTACAAAATTCTAACTTAATAAATTTTTCTAGATCATATCTAATAATATTTCTATGACTCAAGTCAAACGACAATTAAGTGAACATGTATCATCTGATGAAAAAACAAAAAAATTACGTAGTAAGTTTCAATTATTTGCTACAATCAATTGAAGTGAAACTATTGTGTTTTTCATTACTTTAGATTTAACATTTGATAAGAATAAGTAAATAATATTATTTTAGTTTTAGGTTAATTTTTGGTGCATATATTATTATAGCATAGAAGTTAGTTGTATCGAACATTTGTCGAATGAAATTTTTTATGAAATATTCGATTATCTTGATGGTTGTGATACTTTCGATATATTTTCAAATCTTAACATACGTTTTCAACGTCTTATTCTACATTCATTATTACCAATTAAAATTTATCGTTCCATTTCATCTAATCAAATCACCGAATATCATTATCAAAAACTTATCATACCATATCGACATCGAATTATCTCTTTTCATATGCATGATACATCATATATGTCATTGAATTTTTCATTACATATGATTGATGCGTCATTCAATCGTCTTGAATCCATTGTTTTCTATAGAATTCAATATGATGTTCTAATATCACTTCTTCCGAACTTAATTACTCTACCTCGTCTTTTCGCATTGAACACTGGCCTTAGTGATCAATTGAGAAATTTTTCGAAACTTTATGGCTTGATTTTTTGTTTACCTTTACTGAAATATAACAAACTGTCAGCATTCAGGAACTTTTCACCTATTTTACTACCTTATGAAACTAATGCATACAGTTCTATTGAACATCTAGTTATTGATTATGAATGCTTCGTCCACGAATTAACTGTGATTCTTTCGTGTACACCACGACTTAGCCATTTAACTTGTAAGTGTTTAAGTTCAAAGAGTATAATAAAAAGAGCGATATCAATAAATATTTCCAATTTGAGATATTTATCAATAAATGTATGTTATTTAAAGTTTCATGAATTAGAAACATTAATTAAAAATTCATTTTTCCATATACGAGTTTTACGTTTTACTACGTCTTGGGATACTTCTTATCTTGATGCTGATCGTTGGGAAAAATTAATTTCACAATATATTCCTTATTTACGAATATTGAATTTCAAATATACTGACGATATTTACAATCAATTCACGCTCAAACCATATCACTTAAATCTCAATCGATTTCTTTCACCGTTTTGGATTCAACGAAGATGGTTTCTGGAGCTTAAAGTTAGTTTAAATTATTTTCTATGTGCTTCAATTACATATTCTATTCAACCATTGAAGTACGTTAATAAGAGTTTCTTCTAGAAATAATAAAACTTCATTCTCGTTTTCTCTAGAAAACAATGGTATGAATGGCAAGATGATGCAGACTCGAAACAATTTATTATTTGTCCAACTTTGGCTGAAAAAAAATACAACAATACTTCTTTTTCGCATCTTCATTTTACTATTGATGGTCCACAGAATGTAGAATATTATCAATCACTACAAGAATATATTTGTTCTATTGATGCTTTGGTACAATTTACTAGTTTACACATTGATTTGTGTTATTTTTCAATTCCTATTCTTATTAAATTCATAAACATGTTGCCTAATCTTGATTCATTAACAATAACATCTAAGTTTCCAGGAAAAACTAAAATTTTATTTGGAACACAAATTAATATGTTACGTTTTGTATCCTCTAATAACAAAATAACTAAAGTAAATCTTGAACAAATAACAGAGCTCGATCAAATTCATATTCTTATGGATCTCTGTTTTCATATGTGTGATCTTAAAGTGAAATGTAGAAATATCTTTGATGGTACATGGTTAATACGTTATATTTTAAACAAAAGAAATACAAATTTTATTCCACATTTATGTTCAATATGTCTTTGGATTTCGAAAGCAAATGATGAAATGATGAATAATTTTAAAATAATAATCGATACTGAAAAGTTAATTGATAATTATACAATCAAACGCGTATGTGATAAAATTTATCTTCAATGGAATGAACATGTATAATTTAGAGCTATAGTCATTGTCGAAAAACGATGGATGTGCTTTTTTTTTGAATAAGTTTTGATAGGAACTATATAGAGATCTACAATTTCCACCGTTTAAAAGAGAAGATGAAACTGCATTGAGTTTTGAACATCAAACTTTTCTTATAAGCTTTAGGTATTTTCTCAAAAATTTTTTAAAAATTGAAGCTTTTAAATAGGTTTAGAAATTGGATTTTTCGTCAAAAAATTTAGAAAAAAAGTCAATTTTTCTCAGAAAATATGTCGATAGCACGTAATAAAATATTAATAACTCGTGACTGGCGAAATTCTTTCGATATCGAACTTTCATAGATTATTAAATTTTAGTGAATGATTCTTGCATACTACTGAAAATTTTCTATGATTTAATGTGTTGTTTTTAAAATACTTGGTGGAAGACTCTGAGAAAACTTATTAGAAAGTTCTGCTATTCGAGATTCGATGCAGCTTCATTTTCTCTTTTAAACAGCGAAAACCGTAAATCTTTATCAAGTTCCTATCGAAAGCTATTTATAAAACAGCCACATTCATTGCTTTTTGAAAAAACTATACTAAGATTATTGAATCATTTAATTTTGATATTTCTATGTATGTTATTTTTCAATGAAATAAAATTTCTGAAAATGAGTTTTTAATCTTGATTAATGTTAACATTGCGATGCGGGGTATGAGTGACAGTACATAAAAGATCCTCACTCAAACGGACATCAATACCCATACATTCACGATGAATAATTCTGCAAGATATTGTCCAGTTCAAAGTTGTCGATATTTTTTAGGGCGGAAGCGGCTAAAAATTCGTCAGAAAATACTTTCATCATCGAGAGAAAAGTACCAAGCCCACCATCACCAGACCATGATTCTCTCAGGACCACTCCCATCTTCTCCATCATACTTACGATATAATATAAGTATTGATTTCAAATCGATATTACGATTAAATCTATTTTTTCTACTTTGTAATTTAAACTCTACACTAATCGATTGTGAACTCTAGTTTTAGTTTATATCAAACCAGATGGAGTCATTTCATTTCATCCAGATTTAATTCAGTTACTTTGTTTCTCGTCTTCAACCATATATCTTGCAGATGATTTCAGTATTTCTAATGAAATTTATCACTTGATTTTCTGTTTAATTGAACTAAAATATAACAAAATAATCTTTATAATCACATCGCTTCATCAAGTTTTGTTAACAAACAAATTTGTATGATCGAATATATCATACTGAATGAATCGCTCCAATTGAAAAATTTGACACTACTATCTAAAATAATTTATATATTTTTTTGTAAATGTCAAATACAGTTTCATGAGTTTGAAAAAAATCATCAAAAAAATGTAATATTAAATACATATTTTACATAATAATATGTCTTTTGATAGTTCTTATATTGATGCTGATTGATGGAAATGTTTTATTTTACAATATTTAACTACAATATCGACAATTAACTTTGAATCAAGTGATTTCAATCCTGCTTTAAACAATATGCTAGTTAATAAATTTCCTTAACTGTTTTCGATTGACCGACAATAGATTTTTGAATTGAAAGCTAACATGTACCAACAATCAACTACTAAAATAACGTATTGCATTCATCTACGCAGGTATATTAAGTAAAAATCATTTTTCAGTTTACTGATCTTTTTGTTCAGAAAATAAATATAATATTAACAATCAACAGAAACATAATAACTTTTTCGTGCAATTTTCTGCAGGTACTGAATTTATTGTGTAAGAATACAGCGTGATAGAATTTACTCGACCGTTGATGGTCAGCGTATTATTTTTTTCTGTGATATAAATTAATCGTTTATATATTGCATATCATTATTCTTTTTGTATTACCATGCTTACAGAATTCATGTAACTGTTATGTATTCTTGACTCTTTGATAATATCTTACATGACTTAACATTGAATAGAAAGTCTATGTGAGCAACAGTCAACAAGTTGATCAATATGTAAATTCAAACGAAAAACAATGGTAAGCAAAGTTTATATTGTTTTAATTCTATTTGAAAAACTTTGAGCTATATTTTAACTGCAATGATAAGTCCTGTTAACGATATACTTATCCCATAAAGAACAATACAATCTGTTTTCATTTAACAATATGTGAGAGCTGTCAGTCTTTTAGTGTAGCATAGTGTGAATTTTCATTTTTCGTAATCGTTACAATTCTACAAGTTTCAAAGAAGATTTCATTGTGATAGGTCACCATGTAATACTAACAACAGAAGTAGCATGGGGATTTTCAACAGTGGTGTAGACCGAACGATATCAGCCAAAAAACGATATCAACAAAAAACAAGAAAAAAAAATCTCTTATTCTCTCTAAGGAGACGAGCAAATGTCTTCGTATCTCTGTCTTACTTCAAATAAGTATTCATTTGTTTATTGTTCTAATTTATTGACAATTCAAGGGCGACTATTCATAGTATACAATATTGGTGTGATTGTAAGCGACGAGGATAAAACACGTTCATTATCGTAATTCAGCGCATCGTTGCTAGGAATTCAATTTTACCAGATCCATGTTTCTTTTAGATGGAAACAAATTGTTGACAATTTTACTTCTGCATCAAAACATTGTCGTTCGAATATTTTTTTGCTAACATTGTAGTTGAAAAATCATGAAGTATTCTTTCTTTTTTTTTGAAAAGTTTTACGCTAGTAAGTGCAATTTCATACTTTCACTATATCGTTTATTACTATTGATTGCATGATCAAAAAACAATGGGATTAAGTGCACGTAGAACGAAATAGTAAAGAAGAGAGTGAAACTATTGAATTGTTTGTCTCGTTGAAAGAGAAAATGGTAGTTTATTTTTGTACAAGATATTTGTTGACTCAACGCAATCACGTTTCGACACTGATTGCACATCGAAACATATAAACAAGAGAAAGCTGGACACAGTGGAAGCAATACTTTGTCATCATCAGTCCTTTTCTATTAAAGTCAAGTAACATCCTAGAGTGTCAACAAGAAACATATATTGATGATTGAGAAACAAAGAACGTCGTTAAAAGAACATGTTCATCTAAATAATGAAGCTTCATCATTGAATAATATTTATTCGTAATTTCAAGTTGACAGTGTATACATACAATTCTTTACATCACGTATAATCAATATGGGCTGCAATATATCAAAATCGGCAACAGTTAGATCTTCCAACAATCACCACCATTCTAGTAAAGTAGTAACACCAGTATTATCACCATTATTACCGTCTAATTCAACCCAACAATCGGACTCAAATCACATTGCAAAACGGGATCGTCGAACTAGTACACATGAAATCGTTCAAAATTTTCTATTAATTTGGCTTGATACACAAATTGATGAATCTAGTGAAGATTACCGTCATTCAATCAGATACCTTCGACGTACAGTCAATACCATTGAAACGTTCCAAGATACGGAAGAATGTGTTGATTACATTTTGAAACTCCAAAATGAAAAAGTATTCCTAATCATTTCGGAAGCTTTATGTCAAACTGTTGTGCCACGTATTCATAACATGGCTCAACTCTATTCAATTTATGTTTTTTGTCGGAAAAAAGAAAAGCATGAGACATGGGCAAAAGACTGGTCCAAAGTGAAAGGTATTTACAGCAACATTACCCCAATTTGTGATTCAGTTCGACAATCTGCTCGGCAATGTGATGAAGATTCAATCCTGATTAGTGCCGCATCATCATTGAATCAAATCGAACCGTCGTTCATATATATGCAACTCTTCAAAGAAATTATACTTCAGATCGATTTCAATGAAAATAACGAAATCAACGATCTAGTCGAGTATGCACGGAAACAGTATGTTGGCAATGATGAAAACTTGATGATAATCGATGAATTCGCTCGAGAATATCAAGGCAATATGGATGATAAAAACAAGTCTATTTGGTGGTATACTCGAGAATGTTTCATGTACCACATGCTCAACAAAGCATTAGGTACTCTACAAGTCGAGATCCTTCTGAAAATGGGCTTCTTTATCCAAGATCTTCATGAAAACGTCAAGAAACTCCATTCGGAGCAATCAACTGAAATGGATGTAGACTCAAAAATAATTACAGTCTACCGGGGTAAAACTATGACCAAGCAAGATTTTGACACTAAAATTAAGCAAGATGGATTCATGTCGTTCAATAATTTTTTATCAACCAGTAATGATCGCCATATAGCCATTCGTTTTATCAGGGAAGGACTTCATTCAGACAACAACAAGGGGAAAGTCAGTGTTCTCTTCGAAATAACAATTGATCAATCGATTTCATCAGCTCCATTCGTTCGCATCAACAAAATACGTAATTTTGAGAAAGAAAATGAAATTCTTTTTTCAACACACACCGTATTTCGCGTCCACCAAATAGAAGAAATGAAAGATAGCGGAATACCGTTGTGGCAAGTGAAGCTTACACTCATCACTGACAGTGACTATCAGCAACTCAATGCTCTTACCAATCAAATGGGAGAGCAGATCATCGGAACAGGGTGGCTACGAATCGCTTACTTGCTATGGAAACTGGGTGAAAATGACAAGGCGGAACAATTGTGCAAGATGTTACTCGAACATGTATCCAATGAGAATGATAGAGCAATTTGCTATAATCATCTCGGACTATTCAAAGATGATCAAGAAAAATACGATAAGGCTGCTGAGTTTTACGAAAAAGCACTGAGTATCAAAGAAAAAATCCTTCCTCCTAACCATCCTGACTTGGCTACTTCCTATAACAATATTGGCTTGGTCTATAAAAATATGGGTGAGTGCTCGAAAGCACTTTCATTTTATGGCAAATCACTTGGTATCTTGCAAAAATCTCTTCATCCGAACGGTCCCGATTTAGCTACTTCTTACACTAACATCGGAGCAGTATACTATAGCAAGGGCGAGTACTCGAAAGCACTTTCATTTTACCAACAAGCACTCGATATCAACGAAAAAACTCTTCCTTCAAACCATCCTGATTTGGCTGCTTCCTACAATAACATCGGTTCGGTATATGCTAATATGCGCGACTATTCGAAAGCTCTTACGTTTTACACAAAAGTAATCGATATCTACGAAAAAACTCTCCCACCAGATCATCCCTCCTTGGCTACATCTTACAACAACATCGGTGTAGTATATAAAATCATGGGCGAGTACTCTAAAGCGCTCTTATTTTATGAAAAATCACTTGAGATCAGAAAAAAAATTCTTCCACAGAATCATCACGACTTGGCTACTTCTTACAACAACATCGGGGGAGTGTATAATAACATGGGCGAGTACTCGAAAGCGCTTTCATCTCTTGAAAAAGCACTCGATATCTTCGAAAAAACTCTCCCTCCAAATCATTTTTTGTTGGCTCATTCGTACAACAACATCGGTTTGGTATATGATAACAGGGGGGAGTACTCAAAAGCACTTTCGTTTCACGAAAACGTAGTTGATATCTACGAAAAAACTCTTCCTCCAAACCATCCTGACTTGGCTATTTCTTACGATAACATGGGTTTGGTATATAAAAGCATGGGCGAGTACTCCAAAGCGCTTTCATTCTATGAAAAATCACTTAATGTCAAAGTAATAAATGTCCCGCCGAATCATCCTGACTTGACTACTTCCTACATCAACATCGCAGGGGTCTATGATAACATGGGCGAGTACTCGAAATCTCTTCCATTTTACGAAAAATCGCTTGAAATCAAGGAAAAGACTCTGCCTCAAAACCATCCTGACTTAGTTACTTTTTACAAAAACATTGGTTCGGCGTATGTTAACATGGGTGACTTCTCAAAAGCCCTTTCATTTTACACAAATATAATTGAAACCTACGAAAAAACTCAACCTTCAAATCTTCTCTTCTTAGCTACTTTCTACAGTAACATAGCAGAAGTATATAAAAACATGGGTGAGTATTCGAAAGCACTGTCGTTTTATGAAAAATCACTTAAGAACAGAGAACAAACTCTTCCTCCGAATCATCCTGATTTAGCTACTTCATACAACAACATCGGAGACGTATACAATAACATCGGCGAGCACTCAAAAGCACTTTCTTTCTATGAGAAATCTCTTAATATCAATGAAAAAGCTCTTTCTTCAAACCATCCTGACTTGATTGCTTCCTACAACAACATAGGCTCGATGTACTTTAACTTGGGAGAGTTCTCGAAAGCCCTTTCATTTTATACGAACGTAGTTAACATCTACGAAAAAACTCCTCCACCAAATTATCTCTCCTTAGCTACTGCCTACAACAACATTGGGTTGGTTTATAAAAATATGAGCGAGTACTCGAAAGCACTTTCATTTTATGAAAAATCACTCGATATCAGAGAAAAAGTTCTCCCGTTAAACCATCTCGACTTGGCTATTTCTTACAACAACATTGCAGGAGTATATAATAATATGGGTGAGTACGCGAAATCACTGTCATTTCTGGAAAAAACAGTCGGTATTTTTGAAAAAATCCTGCCTCCGAATCATTTCTTGTTGGCTCAATCCTACAATAATATTGGTGCAGTGTATACAAACATGGGAGAATACTCGAAAGCACTTTCATTGTAAGCAATAACTCCCACTCAAACGCATCGGGATTTCATGCAGTGAAAAAGAAACACTGAACTTATGAGAGAGAAAATGTAATTGATTTTTCTTTTGCTTTAAGACAATAAGTTTCGTTCAGGTTTTGCTTACAATGATGGCCGATCATTTGCTTTTTCTTTAATATATTTCTATTCAACTCTGCACGCATGGCTAGAGAGATCCTGAATCTTGTTGGGATGATACAGTAAACAATGCTGCCAATAATCGAGCAAATATATAAATGTGTATGTCGTACATACGATATGACGACAAGAACATATATGTATAACAAAAGTTTCATCAAACATTCTCGTACATACTAACAGCATGGTAAAACTCTCTAGCAATGTCACAAGACGATCCAAGGGTGGGTGCAGATGTTCTTCTGGACCACATAACCATATCCACATTCCACCTGCACTCACACTCTTTTACCTATTGTTACATTTATCATTCGACTTACTAAGTCAAGCAGAAAAGAAAAATCATCGTATTATCTTTCTTCTTATAATTAAGTGTTTCTTCATAAGAAAATTTTTATGACAATCTTGAGATAATCGTCAATCCGATTTTTCATTTCGATTCTTTTCTATATTAAAGATCTCAGCTCAAGATTTTGTTAGCTTTATGATTGAATGTGGTGCAGATGTAAATAAAATAACCATATGCACCAGAGCTCCGAATGGGATGGGACAATCTCATCTCATCCCATGGGACGAAATTTCTTTTAGCTAGGGACGATGGGATGTTTTCTTCTCTGTATCATGAAAAAATCCAAGCTTTTTTGGTTGAAATATGGTTTCAGTCAGTACTTTATGCTAGTACTGAATAATACAATTTACTATATTCTGATTGTTGATCTTATTTCTTCAAAACAAATACTTTCGTTACTGGTTTTTTTTCTATTATTGTTCATAAAAAATGTTTCGATCTATTTTCCACGTGCATAAAAAGACCTAAAACTGTTTTGACAAAGTTCTATATTCTATAATAGCGTATATTCTTAAAAGACTGTCGCGTAGCTACTGACTGCATGAATAAAAAAGCACTTTAATGAAAGAGCTTCTTAAATCTAAAAGGCAGATTCTTTTATTAAGTCTAAAATGATTTGATAAAAATCAGGATCCATTCGAATATACGTATATATGATTAGTATACAAATTTAATATCAAATAAACTGATCTAAACATACACGTATGGAGGGAGCTACGGTAATTGAATGAAGTAGCCACAGATATCGGCTCTAAATTTTCAGAAAGTCTTTTTATAATATGATTTGTCCCATGGCATCCCATGGCATGGGATGGGACGAAAATTTTTTATAGCTTGAAACAATGGGATGGGATTGAACAAAACGAGTTATCCTATAGGATGAAGAATTCGTTCCATCCCATCCTATTCGAAGCTCTGATACGCACTGGTCACAGATCTTTACATCGTACTACTGTTACTTCATATGTCAATTGTGCTGTATCCATCATCAACATACTCATCAAGGCCAGTTCACATACAGATTCTCTCAACATTTACGTTTATCGACCTGAACTACTAGCAGAATCAGTCGCAATCAAAGACATCATCATGAGTCTAAATGAATACATTTGCTCAAATGTCTATGTAAGCATTTGATTATTTCAACAATATTATCTTATGAATCATATTTTTCCCGAAATTTAATTAGTTTCACAAATATGCATCAGGGTAAATAAATTGTTATGGCACGTACATAGAACGTGTCACAAAACATATTCGTCAAAAGCCTTATTGAGATACGTTTGTTCTTTGTATACTTATACATGCTGTAAAACACAGGTTCCTGTTTTCTTTCGTTCTATCATACATATCCTTATATTGTTTTCTTGGTTTGTTCTATTACTCTCTCTCTTTCTTGTACGTGATAAGTAAAGTATTTTCCCAATAGTTTTATGTTATCTATTCGCATATTTCAGCTCTCCTCTAACATTTGATATGTATATATAGAGTTGTTCTTCCTATCAAGAGGCATATATAGACTGATGAAACTGAATAAAGTAGTACCATATGCGCGACAAAGTATATTATATCTAACAGAAATTTAAAAAAATATGTTTCATGACGTTAAATGAAATGTGTGCATGTAGTTGATGATCTTTTTGCCACATATATCAATATCTAACAACTTTTTCATCCTTGTTTCGTAAGTAAAATCTGATGAATCTATACATTTTAGAGAAATATAGATATAGATTTGATTGATAGCAAGGCTCACATCTATATTCTCTAATGAGTTTTTTGTTAGAAGGAAGTTTAGATCATGATAATTGCTGTACATTTTTTCTTCACTAAAACAAATATTTATCTTGTTCCATAATAAATCTTTTTCTCAACACCAGTGATAAATCAAGCAAACGTTTTTTATACAAAAATAAACACTCGTATTTTATTGTTCTGTTCATCTCAATATAAATCACCTCGTTTTGTTTGTAATTCAAAAACATTTTCAAGACTTTTAAAATGAAACAAAAGAAACTCGTTTTTTCTTAGATAAATGGAAGATTTCTCTGGAACATGAGTGGAAATAAATGTTGGAGTAGATAAAGCAAACCTTGAACCCATTCACGTTCATTGGATAGACCGTGATAGCTACCTTGTTGAGGATATAAATAACAAGCTATGTCATGTTTCACCGTATAATTCGGCAATAATTAGATAAAAACTAACTTATCTATATTCATCTATAAGATTTTATCTATTATTTTAACATAGAAAAAAGAAAAAACTGTTTTGAGGTTAAAGTTCTTCAGCAAAAGATATGTTATTCGTGACCGTTGCCATCTAAATATCAATAATATGAAGCAAAAGGTTGTCATTTTGTTTTTTTATCAGTACTGTTATCAGCTCTTCAATACTGAATAATTACCACAGATGTCATATATATTCTATGTTGTTTTGTACCTTAGAAACATTTTCATTTGTTTTTTTCATCAAGTATTTACTTGTATTGTTCTAGTATATAATATTCGACCCAAAAATGATATATCTTTTGATTATATTTTTAATGGTAAGTTCAGTTTATGGTTCATATCACTATGTTGGTTGTTATAAACAAGTATTTTACAATAATTATTTCATCAGTTCTTATATGGAACCAACATTATGTTTTCTTTTATGTGATACACCGATTATTTATATACAAGACAGATTTTGCCGATGTTCAGGTGGCGGTCTTATGGATTATAATCGACAGATAGATGAACTTTGTCGGATACCATGTAGAAAGCCAGGTAATCGTCAAGTGAAAACAGTTCAAACATGCGGAGGTACACAAACATATTCAGTTTATGCTGAAGAAAAATTTTATACTCAGCATGCTCATTTATTCAACTTTCGTATTCAATTTAAATCATGTGAATTATGGAATACTTCACGTAATTATGATGCATTACAAATTAAAATTGATAAATCATCTGTTAAATCTCCGTTGAATAAATTGGAACGATGTGCTGCTGCATGTCTTGATCAAAATACTACGACCAAATCCATAGGTAGAAAAATATATCAAGAACTAATAATCATCGAATAGTTTTCTCATATTCCTAAGAAATCAAATTCTTTTTAATCATTACTATCTATACTTGTATTTCAACAGCGTTAAATATCGTTAATAGTTCGTCTTAAAAGAGTGTTCATAATGGAACTGAGAAACCAATGAAAATTTCAATTTTTGATTTTTAATATTTTTAGCGTATTCTGATGCATTATAGTTAAGTTAGCTAAGAGCCATTTCAGAGCGCCATCAACTTTCCATAAAAGAAAAATAGTCAAAAGTTTTCATTGTTTGGTCTTCTAGTCCAATATAAGTCAGAGTCGTCATAGTTTATTAATTAAAAATGATCAATTTTTGATAGTATAGCTGCTGTTACTAGTAGTTTATGACACTCGAATATCTCAGAATAGGTTTTATATATAAATTGTAACTTCTGATTCTGTTCAAAATTTAAAACAATCTTAAAAAAAGTTGAACTTACAGTCGCATCTTGTCAATGAAGAACGATAAAATCAATCATTTTAACCTCATAAATTGTGATATGGTTGACTTATTTTGAAATAGAAAAACCCAGTAAACACGATTTTCGACTATTTTGTCGATAGGAAGTGGATGGTGTTCCAAAGTGTATATTGCCTCACTTTACTATAGTACCAATCTCGGAATGAGCGAAACATTTTGATCAGTGCCTTTGTTCTCTTATGGACGCTCTCTCAAAAGTCTCGACTGTGTAACTGAGAGATCGTTCTCAAAATAGAACAGCATTTTGTGGAAAACTCGTCTGAGTACTGTGAACTACTTGAAAAGATTTCATGATATCGTGTAATTTGTTTTTCACATTCATCTAAAGTGAGAACCAGAGAGTGTGAGGGTCTTGCTATTAGTATTTCTAATTTCGTAACAGAGATCATCACAGAACAGGGCAAAAATTTGTCCCGTACCTATGAAAAAATCAGTCTATTCGAATTTTTTTTTATTGAGAATCAATTGATGTGGTACTATTTAAGTTTTCTTTTAATCAAATTATATACTGTTCAATTTGGTTTAATCGAGTGACATTGATTATCAAAAAAACTATAATAAAAAGAAAAATAAATCTATTCGTATTAGAGTGTTTTTTCTAGTATAGAATCTGTTATTGTTCAACATCTAGTTGCTAACAGCGTCTAGTATTGAAGAAAAGCTAAAATTCAGATTAAAATCGATTATTGTCGGACTGACAATTGATTAAAATGCCTCTATTTTAATCTGTCTATAATCAGATTTTCAACTTTACGGAGAGATATCATTTGATTTTGAACTATTTATTACTCTATTTTTTAGTGATTATCGAATATAAATCAACGATAGCTAATTATGAGAGATTGATTTGAATGGATTAAAGTTTATTAATTAATTAAACTATAGTGGAAAAAGTTTACAATTATATTAAATATATTTATTTGCATGAAAAATTAAATTAAAATCAAATTTACATAGTGCCATCTTAATTAAATGCTTGACCAAAAAGTATTTCAGAAAATGTTTTCAATAATTCTTAAATTTATTTCAGATCAAAAGAGAAAGCCACTTCTGGAAGAATAATATAAATTTTCGTCATATAAAAAGTCACTACTTTTTTTTATAATTCGTGAGAGTGATTGAAACATGAGTTTAAGTTACTGACACTTTCATTTACACGTTAAATTGTTAATTAGCTTCATATCCTGATGCATACACCAATCGACGATCTTGCCCTATTCTTTCCAGGTTCTTGTTTTTCTTGGTTTTCAGACAAGATTCTTTTTCCATTCCTTCTATACAAGATTCTTGCCTGAAAAAACTGATCTTGCCTTTCTGACAAGATTCGTGTAGACCGAATCTTGGCTGGTGAGGCAAGAAGTTCTTCTCCAGACAAGATTCTTGTATTCTTGCTTTCTTGTCTGATTCTTGCTTTTCTTGAATTCTTGTCTGATTCTTATTTTTCTTGATGTTCTTGCCTGATTCTTTTTTTCTAAGATTCTTGTCTGTTTCTTATTTCTTGTGTTTCTTGCCTGATTCTGGTCACATTAAAAAAGCCTTTTGTAGGTTCTTATTACTCTTTTTTCATATCGTTTTATTATAAGCTTTGCACACTATGTACAACAAATGTAAAAAAAAACAAAAATACTTTTAATTTCACATGTTGTTAAAGCAGTTTCAGTTTTTAATACAAAAAAAAACAAAATTTTAATTATCAAAAAAAAATACTTATTTTTTCAAACTTCATCATCGTTGTGTGTTGAGCTAGCTCGATTAAAATAAGTTATTTACAATTTGTTCAACTAGTAAATGATGTAGAGATAATTGAGTACGATGATGTTGATCTTTTTTCTTAGCACGCCATCGACGTTGTTTATCCGTATGTGGTGATGACTAAAAAAGATAGTATTTTAATCAAAAAGATATAAAGTGCATATAGATATTACCTATACTACCAAGAACATTATCAAACAATAATTTTTTGATGAAATCAATATTTCCTTCGTCCATTAAAAAAACACTTTTGTGGATAATGAAAGAAAATCTAAAAAAAATAAAATAGAAAGATGTGGATTGCTAAAATATCGAAATGTGTTTAATAAGTGTAAGTTTTCTGAAAACAATGGAAAAAAAGATATCATATATTCCACTATTTTCTCGATATCGAATGGAAACTTTTTCTATACATCCAATTGAAATAATGAATAAATAACGTTCAGACATTGCCTTTATATATTTGATCATACAAAGACGACATCACGTGCTGTTGATCTTGAAAAGCTGGCAAGAATCTTTTTCTTTTCTATCATAAGAATCTTGTCTGAATACTAAGAAATTTAAAATATCTTATATTTCTTTCCAGTTTCTGTTTTTTCATAATTTTCAGACAAGATTCTTTTGATCTTGAATTTCAGACAAGATTCTTTATCTTTTCTTTTAACAAGAATCTTGTCTGAACGTTAAATATATCTTGAATATCTTATAATTCTTGCCTGATTCTTTTATTTCTGATTAATCAGACGAGATTCTTGTCATCTTGAAATTCAGACAAGATTCTTTTTACTTTCCTGTCGAAAAGAATCTTGCCTGAATACAGGAATCTTGTCTGAAAGTAAAGAAAAACAAGAACCTGGAAAGAATAGGGCAAGATCGTCGATTAGTGATACTAAATTGAAATAAGGCATTCTTTTGAAGTGACATGCATAAAAAAATTTGATAACAATCAAATTTTTATTTCTGAAGATTTCAAATCTTGTAATGGACATAGCTAATATAGAAGTCCTGCTCTATGACGCTTTCTGTTTCTTAATTCTTTGAAATGAATCTTTCATGTAATAATAGCATTTCATTTATCATTATATTGAACAGTCAATAATAGTATTCGATTGCTAAAGATGATTACCAACGTTTGCTTTATTTTTAATTATAATATGCATACAAAAACTAAAGAAAACCAATTTCATATCTAAAAATTAAAGAAATATGAAAATTAATTTTTAGCTTTCAATGGTGATAACGATCGATGTTTATGTATAATGCCTGGAAGCTTAAATCTAGATACTAATGGTGTACTTGATTTAACAATTTTACCAAATACTGGTTGTGATCGTTATTGTGATAATATAATGAATGATTCGACAGTTGAACATAAATTTAAATGTGGTTCATTAAAAGATTCACGTACATGGACTATATATGATTTAAATGCTACATGTCCAATTGATTCTATTTATATAAACGAATTAAAAAAATGTATATCTAAATATAAAGGAGTTTCGAGTTTATGCCCATCACCATCAATGAATTATATTTATAATGGAAATCTATCGTGGAATATATTTCTAAAAATTATTGGAAAATTAAATTTAACTAAATCTATTGTTTCAATTGATTTTGATGATTATGTGACTATTGATCCTACATGGCTATGCCCAACAACTACCAATACAATAAATTCAAATCTTTCTAATAGGAATTTCAATACATATTACGTATTAGATAACGGTTGCTTACGTGTACGTTCCCACTCTTTAGATTCACATATATTATTAAATCGTTTATGCATAACAAATCCTATAAATGAAGATTCATTATCATATGATACTAGCGATTATTCAATTCATTTATTGGATCTTAATACATACACGGATGTTTGTCCACCACAATGGTTTGATATAAACACAGAGTGTTATCGGATATCGGATTACCGTAAGACAATTCAAGAAGCAAGAAATAGTTGTATTTATTTGACAGAAGATGTAAAGAAGTATATTAAACAACTAGAAGTAACATCAAGTTCGTTTGCTGATGATCGTGATGATAGGGAAAAGATAGCACAACATAAACTTATGAATTTGCTGATTGATGCCCTGCAAGGTGAAATTGTACAGTATGAATCACAATGGCAAGTTCGTCTTGGCTTCTTTCTTCTTGATACAAGTAAATTTTCTGAAAAGAATCTTATATTTTTTTTCAAGTAGTCATCCTTCGCTTAGAAAATCCTATTGATTGATTAGTAAAATAAGTAGTAGATAAGTGAGATTATATAAGATACGAGCAAACACCTTAAATAATAAAATTTGAGAGATTCAGTTCCGTTGCTCTATTATATATTTGTTCACACTATTGTTTGTATGTCACTACGAGAACAACTATGAGTGTTTACTGTATTTTAATGGCGATCAGGAGATAGTCAACTATTAAGCCAAGAATACCATTCGCAAGTTCATTATGCTTAAATCAGCAATGTTTCATCCATACGACCGATTATCGTCACTATAGCCAACATTAGGGTAAATGGCCTATCGATATTTTTTCTTTGCCATGGATCAACCAGAGTTTTATTCAAAGATTATTCCGAATTGAAAGTAAATATTGGATTGAAAAATAACTATATTAGAACATAAGTACATTTAGTCTTATTGATCCTCTACGAATTTGCTAAACAAATTGTTTGTAGATATGAATATTTGAAAAAATTCTTATTAGAATTCAAATTCAAAGTTTAGAGTGCTATATCTTTTAAAAAGATACACGAATGTTGCATTTAGTGGTCTCTGGAAACTCTCAATCTTAGAATAAAAGATCCAAACATAAAAGTAAAGCTTCAAACAGAAAAGGAAGAGTTTCGTGGTAAAAAAAAAGCGAATAATGAGAACAGCTATGATCTGACAACTATAGATTATGAAACAAAGATTTCTAGTGTTGCATAAAACCTAATGAGGAAGAATATACTATAGATGATTTTTTTTTAACGTTAACTAAAATAATTCTTTTTTAGATGCATCAAATACAGAACCAGACTTTGAATCATTTCGCTCATTTGTTAAAGGTTTTCCATCACTAGTGTCTGATGTTGATGTTGATCTCTCATCTATAAATGAAATACAAATGATTAATTCAAATGACAATAAGAACTCAAGTATACAAGATGATTCATGTTTAGTTTGGAAACGTTCAATAATCGACGAAAAACAAAGAAGTTCTAGTTTAGACAATTCTCAAATTAATAATTGTTCGGAACCAAGGCATGTTTTATGTAGAACAACAATAATGCTCGGTCATAGTCCTCATCAAATGTGTTATAGTAAACCAACAACACTTGGTTTACCAGCGATGATATCAAATCATTTAACATATGAATTATGTGCATCTGTTTGTGAAACATTAAAAACAAATATAGCTCTTATAAATATGAACAAATGTTATTGTGTCGATATTACTGAAACACTGATTATCGATATCGAAGGAAATCATGTAAAATATATAACAAAGGATTGTGGAAATCCTTGTCCAGGTATATTTACCAGATGTATATTGATGTTTGTGTTTTTCCTCAATCAGTCAAACTTTATTTTAACATTTTGTTCATGAGATATAGCACCAGAATTGTGTGGTAACAATAATTCATGCGAAAACCCATATTTAAAATTTCCTACTTGGTGATATTGCCAGACTTCTGTTTCAGCTCTTACAGTCATCGTATGGTAACATAGTTTTCAAAACGAACTTGGAGAAAATTCACCATACTTTCGCCAATATTACTTCTGGACTTTCACAACTCACCAAGTTTCACAACGATCTGCGATCATGTCGATTTTTTTTTTATTATAACCTATCGAAAATTGCGAATTTTCTAGTCTACAAACATTCTCACATATTTTGTTGATAACTACACTGAAATATTTCTATCTCTTTTTTGCTCAATATTTTTTTTTCACATCAATCAAAAACTCGATTTTTATTTCATCTTGAATTTCTGTACAAAATTAAATGGGATTTTCAAATAATAATAGTTTCCACATTTCAGTCCAAAAAGAACTATACTAACAAGCTTTCGTACTCTAAAAACCAATCATTCAATTGCATTGAATTTGAATTTATATGTGATTAAGTAAATGACTACATAACTATTTACATTTTTAGGTAATCAAAATGAGAAATGTGGTGATACAAATACTATTGTTCTCTTACATGTAGCTGATAATCTTTTTCGGTTTAAAATTGACGCATATTATAAACGATTTAAACAATATCCAGATTTTATATATGATGGTTGTATACATTTAAGTTCTGCTAATCAATCAGGGATATATCCATTCAGTTTTAATCATATAAATGATATTCATCCACGTCATTGTTTGGAATTATGTAAGAAGTATAAACAAAAATATGCTCTTCTTAATTCAAATAAATGTTTGTGTACGAATATTCCAATGAATACAAAACAAAGGGATGCAAAGTTATTATCATTTCTGGATTTCAATTGTATTCAAGCATGTCAAGGTAATTACTTATATACATGTGGAAATGCAAGTAATTCATCGATCTATTCTGTGTATGTAACACATCCAAGATGTCCTCATAGTAAGAGATAAAAACATCAAAACTTATCTAATCAAACAGAAACAAAGAATTTTTCTTACTTTTTCTTTAGATTTTCAACTTAGTGATAATGAACAACGATGTGTACAGATTAATTTTTCAGTGAAGAAAAATTCTTTCTCAACTGCACAATCTTATTGTCAATCTATTGGTGGTGTGCTTGCAAAAATAGATGACATTTTAGAAATTCAAGATTTAGTATTCTCATCAAAGCTACACGGAAATTATTTTGATCAATATCTATACTATCAGATTCCAAGTATATTTGATGATACAAGATACTTTTGGATTGATCGTACATCGAATATCGTAAACAACAACAACAAAACATCAGATCGTTCTATTGGAAAATGTTCTCAAACATTAAAATCATTTGATCAAAACTGTGTTGTTCTTCATCGTGAAAAAATTATCGTTGATAATACTATAACTTTTCGACGATGTTTTATTGAATCAGATCAATGTTCATCAACGTCTGCTATACCAGTTTGTGTTGATAAAAATCTAGATTCTAATTTAACCGCAATGTGGTCAACTATAGATGATGATTCATCC